GCGTTCCTCGCCTTCGCCTTGCGAACAACGGGGAGTCAGGCCGGCGCGCAGATATTCACGGTCACGCCGCGGGCGGGCCCCTGGGCCGCTGCCCCACGGGTAATTACCGGGTCGCAGATGCCCCGCACGGAGAGCTTGCGGCTGCGCATCCAGGGGGTCGCGCCACGGGAGGGCGTGGGGTCGGTCTCTCCCTGACCTTGCGGAGGGGTTCCTGCTGTGTGTCCCCCTGACGGGGGTCCCGGGGGGGTACCCTTCGAAATCTGGCCCGAGACACGGGCGGAAGGACGGCGCAAGACGGCCAAAGCTGGCAGTTGCGGCTTCGGGCGCGCCAAGATTGCCCCAAGACGGCGATGGCGAGCGTGACCAGTGGGGGTAGGGGGGACGAGGGGGCCCGACACGTCACGATTCGCGCCAGCGCCGCATGGGAATGCGCAAGGATGGCCGATTCCTAGACGGCGCCGGGACGAGTCGTGACGTGACCAGTGACCAGAGTGGGGGGGTAGGGGGGAGGGGGGGGAGAAGGGGCCAGTCACGGGCGTCATCGCGAATCCCAACAAAAATGCTCAAAACAGTTCCCAGGAGAGGTCTGGGGAGTTGCGGTGTCGTTAATTTCTGCGTTTCTCCAGAGAGTGGCACCTCTACGGAGTGGTCGCTGGTGTGCGCAGATCTCGGGCGCGCGAGGGCACGATGGCAGTCGCATCGCGTGGGACGCTCGGCCTGCCGCGCGTCAGATTTCACTTGGCCATGGTCGCTCTTGCTCGTAGCCGACCGCGGCCGGGCGGAGAGAGATGATGATGATGATGATGATGATGATGATGATGATGATGATGATGATGATGATGATGATGATGATGATGATGATGATGATGATGATGATGATGATGATGATGATGATGATGATGATGATGATGATGATGATGATGATGATGATGATGATGATGATGATGATGATGATGATGATGATGATGATGATGATGATGATGATGATGATGATGATGATGATGATGATGATGATGATGATGATGATGATGATGATGATGATGATGATGATGATGATGATGATGATGATGATGATGATGATGATGATGATGATGATGATGATGATGATGATGATGATGATGATGATGATGATGATGATGATGATGATGATGATGATGATGATGATGATGATGATGATGATGATGATGATGATGATGATGATGATGCTACCCCAGCGGGGACTTCTTGCGAACCCTGCCCCTGCGTATCCAGTCGACGCTGGGGTATCATTCCCCGCCCTGTCTCGCTCCTCGTCCTTTCTTCCTCCTCGTCCTTTCTCCCTCCTCGTTCTTTCTTCCACCCTTGTCAGCGGCTTCTTTTCACCTGGGAGGAACGAGCGAGAACGGTCCAGGGGGTACGCCAGCGGCGCCATTCCTCACGTTATCGCCATTTCGGTCAGGATGCAGAAACAGTGTACGCCTGGGTAACGGACCTCCCTGCAGGGATCGCTTAGCTGCAGGCATCCTTCGGATGCTGAGTCCCTGCCCGTCTTGCAGAAAGCTGGCTCGCAGGTGAAGGGCTCACGTGTGGTTGGCTCTATTCGGACGGGCACGCTAAACATCGAGTGCGTGTGTGCATGTGCGGCGGGCTCCAGACAGGGCCACGCCTTCAAGGATCGAAGGAGTTGGCATCTCTTCCCCGGCGTAATTAAGGGCGGCGGAAGGCGGCGAAAGCAAAACGAGGGCGCCTCCGCTGGCGGAAGCCAGCGGAAGTGAAAGATGCGCCATTAAGAGATGGCAGCATGTTTGGGTTCAGGCTTTCTGGAATCGACCACTTATGTGCACGTGTGTGCGTGTTTCGTGGCGGGGCGACAAGGGGCAAAAGACGAAAGATGAGGAAGAGAGGGTGGGATGCAGGTTTGTGCATGTTTCCTGCTTGGGGTGGTCTCTCTTCTCACGATGGGCCGCTTCGACACGAGTTTCAATCAACATTGCAACCCTCATTTCCCAGAGTGGACGCATACCGAAACCCCATGCTTCCGCGTGAACACTCGACCCCATGCTCACCCACGTGATGAATCACGTTTTGAGGGATGGTCCCGGCCCTTTTCGCCCGCCGGCAGGCATGCGGATGCTTGGTGGCCTCAGATGCCGATCGAGGACGGGGCAGGGAATGAGAGAGAGAGGGAGAAAGAGAGAAGGATAGAGTGAACACAGAGAGAAGGAGAGAAAGAGAGATAGAGAGAGAGAGAGAGAAACAAACAGACAGACAGACAGACAGACAGACAGACAGACAGACATGTAGACAGACAGACATAGCTACCTGGAGAGGGAGAGAGAGTCGCCATGGTCGCGGTCGCCGTCGCCACCGCTGGCGTTGTCGTCGCCACCGCCCTCGCCGTTGCCGTCGCCGCTCTTCACTTGCAAAATCTTCTACGGTCTCCAGATCGCACTTACTGGGAGATTAGAGTAAGCATCAGCTCTGGTATCTCCCTGCCCCTACTCTAAGTGAGTCCGACTTTTCCTGCCTGATCTGGCTTTGCGTTTGTGGAGCATCCGCGAACATGGATAAGGGTTCGAGGACGCATGTTTGCGAGGATGCTAGCAGTTGTTTGGCCTCACCGGGACCTGCAGAGACCTCAAATCAGGTCCACAATTTGCCAGAGATCGCCAGTTGTTTTTTGTGATGACCCATCTCCCATCCTCTTCCCTTGCGCCAGATTTATATATTAACGCACTGCTCAATCAATTAAGCTGGATGCGTGGCTGAAGTGGAGTTCCGAGGTGCGTAATGTAATTGTTGAGTATTCACTTTGAAGAGTTCATGTTGTAGTTGATCCCCCCTCTGGCGCACGTTGTATGTTTTCATTTGAAGTGCCGTCCGGGGGCTCGCACCTTGCTTTTCATCACGGGAAGTCTTCAGTTTCAAATTGGCCCCTAGGCCCCCAGAGTACAACAATAACAGCAACAACAACAACAACAACGGTTCACGCTTGATTCGTTTCACAATTGATTCAAACATCGTTCGCTCGCGCAGGATTTCCTTACAATGTATGCAGGAATCGCGCGCTTTCGCGTGGAACGTCCTCCAATTTGTTCAGACGCCGCGCCCTCGACACTTAAGAATCACGCTATCGCTTTGGCTTTTGTCAAGATTTACTTGCGAATCGCGCTATCCCCTGAGACTTCCTCGCGATTCATGCAGGTCTCACGCTTCGGCAACCCGCCTGCTCGGCCTGGCCGCCTGGGCCCGCCTTCCCGACCCGCCCGTTAGGGTCTACCCGCCCGATCTGCCCGTCTGGTTCTGCCATGTGCTTTCTGCTCCTAGCCCCCCTCCTGCTACTCTCTCTCGTGCTCCATCCTCCCCTCCCCCTTCCATCCGTCCTCTCTTCCCTTGTTCTAGGTGCTGCACCAATTGCACGTGGCGGATAAGGAAATATCCCAAAGGGGGTGCGGTCGAAGACGAAGAGGGCGGGTATCGAATATATCGAGGGTTTGGGATATGCGTGTTGAATAGCACGCGGGCAGGTAACAGCGAACAGTCTGAACATGATTGTTGTTGTTGTCGTCGTCGTCGTCGTCGTTGTTGTTGTTGCTGTTGTTGTTGCTGTTGTTGTTGTTGTTGTTGTTGTTGCTGTTGTTGTTGTTGTTGTTGTTGTTGTTGTTGTTGTCGTCGTAGTCCCACCCGCGACCCGTCCGCACCGCCCGCGACCCACCCGCGGCCCACCCGCGGCCCACCCGCGACCCAACCCGCGACCCACCCGTGACCCGTGGCCCTCCTGCGACCCACCCGCGACTCACTTCGCGCCCGCCCCGTTTACTCTTACCCGCAACTGCGGGGTGCTACGTGTTCGAGTATTTGTGGATGCTGTATTTGTCATCGCCGCGGGGTGCCGTTGTATTGCACTGGTTTCACGCTGAAGCGCATCCAGGCTGCAGGCGGCTCGCGGAGCCACCTCCTCTTCCGTTGCCAGTCTGGCCTAGGCCGCTGCGTGCACGCTGAAGGCACCGCTAGGCTGCAGCGACTTCGCTCGATCAGCAGCCAGGTGCTGGCGGCTCCAGTCAGCAATTCTAGGCCTCCCAAATGGGGTGCGAGTAGATGGGGTCGGAGGATCACGCCGCGTCGCCGATGCATCGGCGAGGCGGCTCGATGTGGGGCCGACTGTCTCCACGCCGACAACGCTGATGCGTCGCCGACGTCGCCGATGCATCACCAATGCACTGACGATGAATCGACGATGCAGCGCGACCCTCCGACCCCACATCTACGCCGACCCACTTGAGCGACGCAAAAACATGGGGTCGCCTGCGCCGACATTGGCGCGTGTAAGCTGCCCGCGTAAGGTCGCGCGCAAACGCCCTTGTCTTTATTGTGGCGTGCCGCGCCGGCGGCCCGCGTAAGCCGCGGCGTAAGTTGAGCTGCGTCCCCTCGTGTAAGACCCTGTCTTGATCGTCGCCTCATTTGGGAGACCTCTAGCAATGCAGCGACTTGCCAAGCTCGCTTCGCACGTCGCGCCTACAGGCCTCAGCTGCGGCGCCGGGCTGGCGGGCCACGCGGCCGCGACATTCTCGGGGGCGCGCCGGGCGGCGGCGGCAGCGTGTTCCTCGCCGGCCGCGGCGGCGCCGCCCGCCACGGAGCCGGCCGTGCTCTACGACCTGCGCGGGCACGTCGCGACGCTGACGCTCAACCGGGCCGCCAACCGCAACGCCATGACGCTGGAGCTGCTGGAGGGCGTGCGGGCAGCGGCGGCGCGCGCCGCGGCCGACCCGCAGGTGCGCTGCGTCGTGGTCACGGGGCGCGGGCGCAACTTCTGCGGGGGCGCGGACTTCAAGGGCGGCGGGCTCCAGTTCGCCGACTACCAATCAGAGGAGGGCCAGGTGAGGCAACGGCAGTTGGCCTTCGGGGGGGGAAGTCGTCGCCACGGCTGGACGCACCCCGGGAGGGGTCTGAGGTCCGATTCTGAGCCGCCGTTGTCTCATGTCGCCTTGCTCCGACAAGATGCGAGCGTCACGGCCGGGCAGATGGTGGGGCCGGAGCGGAGCCTGGCCATGTACAACCATTTCTTGGCGCTGCTGGACCTGGGCGTGCCCGTCATCGGGGCGCTGCAGGGCCACGCCATCGGCGGGGGCATGGGGCTGGCGCTCTGCTGCGACATGCGCGTGTGCCACGGGGCGTCGCAGTACGGCGTGAACTTTGTGCGCCTCGGCCTCCACCCCGGGATGGCCTCCACCTACTTCCTGCCGCGCCTCGTCGGCGTGCCCCGCGCCGCGGAGCTCCTGCTGACTGGGCGCCTCGTGGACGGCTGGGAGGCGGGACGGCTGGGCCTGGCGAACTACTGCTGCGAGACCCCAGAGGAGGTGCTCGCGAAGGCGAACGCGCTGGCGGACGAGGTCGCCATGAACGCCCCCGTGGCCGTCCGGTGGACGAAGAGGTCGCTCTACAAGCACCTCGGCTGGAGCCCGCGGGACGCGGCCTGGGAGGAGGCGGGCCTGCAGCTGCAGACCGCCGCGACGGCGGACGCGCAGGAGGGCGCCAGGGCGCTGCTGGAGAAGCGGAGGCCCAGCTTCGAGGGCAGGTGACTGCCGGAGGGCGCGGCCTCAGTCTCGAGGCCTGGCCTGCGGGCTGCTGGCGCAGCTCCGCGCGCGGCCCTCCTTGCACACGGGAGGGGCGCCAGCAGCGCCCTGCCGTGGGCAGCCAGCGGGCGCGCAGCCCCTCGGAGGGCAGGTGGCCCCGCCGCACGGCTCGGCGTCGTGCGCGCGAGCTTGCCTCTCTCGCGGCGGGGCCCTCTGGCGCCCAGCCGGCCCGAGTGTGCCCCATCTGTGGGTGCTGCTCCTGGGCGACCTGCCGGGCGCCGGCGGCAGCGCGGCGTCGTTTGCTGCGCCTCGCCGCGCAGTGCCAGTACCCGCGGGTCCAGAACCAAAAACAGCAATGCATTTCTTGCTACTGAGAGAGCGAGAGAGAGAGAGAGAGAGAGAGAGAGCCACCCCGAACCCCCCCAAAAAGAATTGGCGTTTGCCAAATGGCCCTGGGCGTTTACTAGACAGCCCTGCCCTGTTCGATTGCTTCCTTGGGTGCGTCTACCAAACAGCTTCGCCTGTCGGGGTGCCTGTTCTGAGGGTGGTTTTCTGCTTTCTATTGGCCCCTGCAGTGCGAGGGGGCCGACAGGAGGGTTGCAATAGTCTGCGGGTTGATCAGGCGATCTCGTTTCAGAGAAGGTGGGGCACAGGTGTGGCTGCGAATCGTCCTGGAACCTTTCTGATGGCGTCAAATTTCAATCACTCCCCCATCAAAACATTCTGGGTCAATGACAGGGGGGGGGGGAACGGCCCAGGGGGGGAAGCGGGGCAAGTACCGACTCCGAACCGCCCATTCATCGCCAGTCCGGGTCTGGTTGCCCCACCCCGCCCAGGAACATGTGGTTTCGCTATCGAGGAATTGCCGATCCATCAGCTATGTTTCGTCGATTCCAAGTCAATGCATCTCCCCCGAGCCAGTCCTCCCCCCTGTCGCCCCTCCTCATACATGCCATCCCTTGATCAAAGGGGCTCCTCCCAGCTGCCCGTCATCTCTCGGATTGGCTCTATGCACCCATCCCGACGGTCAGGTGGCTACTAATTTTGGGCATAGGCTTTCCAGCTTCCCACATCTTCGGGAGCTGGCCCAACATATGTACACCACACTCCGTGACCGTCCAAAGAACGTGGTGAATACCAGGACCTCCGACGTCGTGGGCCATGAAAGGTCTCACGACCCCATCCCTCGAGCTGTTTCTCCGTGACGGTCACAGGATCCGAAACATATTTGAAAATACCCCAAATGGGACGGCACTGGCCATCTTTGTTTGCCAAGACGCCCAGACGCCTGGGTGCACCGAGCTCGTTCCAGTCCTGGCGGCGCGCCGGAGGGGGATTCGCTGCGAGGGAGGCGGCCTCCTCAGCAGGCTGCCTTCTCAGAAGGGGGACGGCCCTCTCGGGAGACGAGGGGCCTCCCGGAGGGGACCAGGGACGCGTTCAAGACCTCGTCTCTGGCAGGCAGGGGGGAGGAAGAGGAGGAGGAGGAGGAGGAGGAAGATGAGAGAGGAGGAGGAGGAGGAGGAGGAGGAGGAGGAGGAGGAGGAGGAGGAGGAGGGGGCCTCGACCAGGATCCCGAGGCGGACCCGGCCGTGGCGACGAGCTTTTTCCGCCCCTCCCCACTCGAGCCCCCTGCAACGGCACGAACACGCCGACGTTGCTCCCCACCGACGTTGCTCCCTCCCCCCTCTTCCTCCTCCTCCTCCTCCTCCTCCTCCTTCTCCTCTTCTCCTCATCTTCCTTCCCCTCGTCCGCCTCCGCCTCCTCCTTCTCCTCCTCCTCCTCCTCCTCCTCCTCCTCCTCCTCCTCCTCCTCCTCCTCCTCCTCCTCCTCCTCCTCCCCTCGAGGCGGAGGTGGAGCGCGAATAGAGGCGGCAGGCCGGGGGGAGGCCGAGGATGGGCCACGGACGGCCCTTCGGCGGGTGCGCACGGGGGCCCCCTTGTCGGCCCGGGGAGGGGTGCCTCCCCTCAGCGCACAGATCACACGTCGCCTGCCGCCCCGGGCCGCGTTTTCGCCCTGGGGCCGTTTGTTGTAGGCCCCGGTTGTCGGCGCGCACGAGGAGCTCGCGCGAGGGTGGCGTTCTGCTGAGAAGGTGGGGGGGCTTCTCAAAAGGCGGGGGCCTCTTTACGAGGGCCCCATTGCGTCCAGGCAGCTCCTTGGAACCCTGAAGGGCTCCTAAGAAGCACCCGGTTCATCAGAAACCCTCCGCTTTTCTTAGACGGCCGCTCCCCATCTCGTCCACCCCCTCCGCGCACGCCGCCAACCAGGCGCCCGAGGGTGGCCCCCGGAGGCCCGATGAAACAGGCGCCCGAGCTCAATCAAATAGGTCGAGATCACGACAGCCCGCTTCGTGGTCGCCGTCCGTCGTGATCGTTAACGTCGCGGTCCTCGTCGGTCGTCTTCGCGTCGTCGTCTTCGTCGTCATCATCGTCGTCGCCGCCGTCGTCGCCGCCGTCGTCGTCGTCGTCGTGGTCGTCGTCGTAATCGTCGTCGTCTTCGTCGTCGTCAT